GCAAACACTGTAACTTAGACCTATTGGACTTTGCTTAGAGCAAATTTGACAACGGTCAAACTGGAATGTATAGCATACTCGGAACCGTTTCCTCTACATTATGATCGCGGTCGAATCGGACAAAGCTCACCCAGCGGAAAAAGGCTGGATGAGCAAATAATTCTCGAGCGGTTAGTCACTCTGTTATTTGAGGAAGACTAAGAGGGAAGGAAAATCATCTCTGCATTCCGGCTAAGGAAGAAGACAGATGATCCACCCAACGTTCACCCTCACAAAATCGGGTGCCTTACAGTAGAGGTATGCAGACGTATCTTACGACAGACATCTCGTATCAAAGGTGAATCGTGTTACGCACTAAGCGATCTTTCACCGGAGAATCGGAGGAAAGTGATAAATGCTGTTGGGGAGCTATGAGCTCGCCGGAAAAGTGGTGAAACAGCACACCATATGGTGGAATTTCCCGTGGTTCGGAAGACCCCGAAAGCCTGTTGGAGGCCTATTATCGTCATCCCGGGACGGTAAAGCGCGCAAATGGACGGCGGGTGTTAACCGCCAATGTGCGCAGTCAAAGGAACAACTTAGACGAGATACTGTTGATTGCTTTAGAGACCCGTCCAGGCCTGATGGCCTACGCTGAAACTTGGCTATTCACCGACCTCACGGATTCAGTGGTGTCTATCCGCCGATAACACCTCTCCCGATCCGACCGACAAGGAGGAAGTTACGGCGGTGGCGTAATAGTCTATTGGAAGGCGGATATCACAGCAAATGTTATTGAAGCAAATGGTGACAACTCCGACTAGTTCGTGCTGATGATGGACGAAATGCTCTCACCGTTGGCGTCGTCTACAGAGAGTCTTCAGGATCCGGAGCCTACTTGCTGAACTCAAGCAGGAGGCCTGGTGCAGGATAGGACTGCCTTATCGTTGGGATCTGTTTCTTGAGGATCGATCTACAGAGTTCTTTGCAGGCCAACTTATCGAGACCGTACTTCATTGTATTTGTACGCCAACCAGTTTTCCTCCAGATCAAACGCCACATATCCTGGATCACTTGCTCTCCCCAGCGCTAGCAGACATCACGTACCTTTCAATTCTACAACCCATTGGCAGCATTGCTCACTGTACTCTCTCATTCCAGTGGACAAACCGCTTCCTTGTTCGCAGCCAGCGTGTCGACGGCCGAAAGCTCCGTTGTGTCTGTACGCTTCGGCTGAAACCGGCCTCGAGCACTGTCGCTTGGCGTATTCCTGAACACCCCAATGCTGACGATGCGTGGAATCACTTGTACTCCAAGCTTACGTTGGCCAGTGAACAGGTCATGCCCTTCTGCAAACGGAGACCATTATCCAAATGCCCACCTTACACCCAACAGGAATTGCGACCAATGACGAAAAGCGAACGTAAACTTTGAGGCCGTTTCAGGCTTACCCGGTCTGAGCTACACCACTGCAACTATAAAGCGTCAGGAATGCTTGCAACATGAACAACGCGAGAAACGCCAACTATACAAGCTGGCATAGCTACACTTTCTAGAACAACCTCCAAGACGCTTCTCTCGTACCACAAATGTAACACAAAGCTGGCAGTACTATCCCTGCCTTGTTTCCCTGTGAGCAAGTGGAGCTACTTTACGAAGACGTCGAAAAAGCTAACCTTTTGTTCCAGCAATATTCCTCTGTCTACTCGACCGAAACATCGCTCCCGGACAGCGTTGCACTCACTCCTCCTTACCTGTTGTAGCCCGTGGATGTTAACGCTATTGTTGTACTGAAATTTCTTCTTGACCTAGACGCGGATTCCTCTCCTGGTGCTGATGGTTTGCGTGCAGTATTCCTCACGACCGTGGATGGGCACATTGCTGCTCCTGTCTATCAAACCTTCCGTCGTTAAATTGAGGTCGGGCGGCTTCCAACTGTCTGGAAGGTGGGAATGTTTAAACCTATTTACAAAGGCAAGCGTGGATACTGGAACGGGCTCACTGCCACCATCTCGGGGAGCTGGAGTTCATATCTCAGGCCCAACATGATTTCCGAAGGGCGCGTTCACGCGCCACAAATTTGCTGGTGGCTATGGAAACGTAAGCGAGATCATTAGAGGCAGGTAAGCGCCTGGATGCATTGTTTGGTGATTTCAACGAGGACTTTGACTAGGTCCGGCATGGGCTGCTTCTCTTCAACTTAGGGGAATCAGCGTCACCGGGAATGTCCTTGCTTTGGTCTTCTCTTTCCTGGACGGACGCTCTATGCAGTTTAAAGTAAACGAGGTGCTTTCTGACAAAGTTCCCATGGCATTTGGGGTTACCCAGGTTTCTGTACTTGGCCCCGAACCTTTTAATATATGTATCAACTAACTGCCATCCGAACTGCTGCCCGACTGCATAATCAACGCGGATGGTCTGAAGCTGTTGATTGAGATATCAAACCTAAAGGATTTCAATCGGAGCTCGACCTGCTCCACGATTGGTCAATAAAGTGCCAATTTCGCATTTACCGTAACAAATGCACAGTTCCTCCAATCGGTGCTCATGAGCCACTTGGGGACACTTGGTTTCTTGCTCAGAAATGTGCACCAGAAGCGGGATTGGGAGAGTGATTGTGTCTCCTGAACCTAACTCAATCGAAGACACCCGAAGAGGGTCACCACTACCTACGGAATGTGTCACGCCATACGAAGAGCCCTCCTAAGCCTGGCCCCAGCACTTTTTAGACTATGGTTTGCTTCGCATGTGCAGTCAATTCTGGAGTACTGATGGCCTGCTGCGTATCCTGTCACGATGTCCGAAGGTAACATGATGGAGCAGGTTCAACGCGTGGATTATACTCCGTTCCAGATTTGCGGGTCGTACCTTATCCCCTATGGCTTCAACGCTTGAACATGTTCCTTTTGGAATATAGTCGTTGCTGCCGAGATATAATATTTACCCAACGTATTCTAAGAGGTAAACTGAGGAGTGAGCTGCAACCACTCTTTCGTCTCAAAACAAAGCGTGCAACTCGAGGCCATCAGTGGAAACTTATAAAACCGCGGCCCTATCCACCCGGGTGGGGAATGACTGGAACAGCTTGTGGGTGGCCGTCGTGGAAGCTCAGTAGAAGAAAGTTTCAAACGACTGTTGGATTCCCATTCTCTGAGTGCGCAGGGATTTTGCTGCCTCAATACAATTATCGCCCGATAGCACTGCTTCCCACTGCCTCCAAAGTAATGGAGAGTATCATAGACGATTTCTTGCGCTGCCATTTAGAAAGTCTGTCCTTAATAGCCCCGGAACAGCACGGGTTCCGCAGGGCTCACTCGTGCACCACGAATCTTCTCGCAGCCCTTGATTCCTGGACTGCAGAGGCAGACAATCATACGCCAACTGACGTGGTTTACGTGGATTTCTCAAAAGCATTCGACCGGGTCAAGCACGCACTGCTGTTGAGTAAACTGCCGAGTTTGGGGATCGACCAGCAAACAATCTGCTGGCTAAGTACATACCTGTCTGGCCGCACCTACCGAGTTCGTGTAAACGGCGCACTCTCCAGCGCTCTGGCTGCAATGACCGGGGTGCCCCAGGGATCCATCCTCGGGCCCCTGCTGTTCAATTTGTTCATCAACGACTTCCCATCCTGTATCAGCAGCCACATACTGCTTTATGCGGACGACGCTAAGATATGGCGACCTATCCGCAGGCCAAGTGATCAGGCACTTCTCCAGACAGATATCGATGCTGCTTATTCTTGGGCCTCGAAAAACTCGCTCCCGTTTAACATCGACAAGTGCAAAGTCATGCACATTGGGCAAGGTGTGGCTAATCCGTACAATATCGGCGGTGTGCATCTTAAAGCCACATCCCAGGAACGCGACCTGGGGACCATATTATCCGCCGACCTGAGCCCGAGCGCCAACGTAGCTACACTGGCGCGAAAGGCTAGCGTTCGCCTGGCCCTCCTTGGACGTGCACTAGGGTCTTTCCCTAGAGAGACATTTGTCCGTCTCTATAGCACTTTAGTACGTCCGCTGCTGGAGTACAACATACTTGTCCAGCCGCCGTACCTGAAGAAGGACGAGGCCATGCTGGAAACTGTACAGCGCAGAGCCACTAAGAGAGTGGACGGACTATCCCACCTCTCGTATGAGGAGCGTCTGGCGGCCCTTAACCTCTTCCCGTTGAAATATCGCAGGCTTCGTGGCGACCTTATCTTAGCTTATTCCGTCCTGACTAATAACAGGCACCCAAACGCAGGATTGCTGGTCCGCGCCCGTACAGATCATCTTCGAGGGCACTCACTCAAACTGATGACTCGTAGCAGTCGCCTTCTGTGCCGAAGAAACAGTTTCAGTGTGCGTATTGCCTTCGCTTGGAACACCCTCCCTGAAGTTGTTGTCTCAGCGCCCAATACGGAGGCCTTCAAACAGCGCCTAGACGCTTGGCTCTTACCTCGCTGGTCATCCACGTTGCTAAGCTCTGGCCATTTACCAAGCTAACACGCGGCGCTTCTATCATTTTGCTTCCATCCAACTTTGGCGAATTTACCTACACCACTCTCTTGTTCCAGGTATCCACGTTCCCACAGTCAATTCGATGAATACTTGTGCTGAACACCACTACTGCGTCGAGACCCACAACATCTGGTACCTTTTGAAGAGATCAGAACCTTGCCGTAAGATCCCGAGGCAGAACCACCGAAAAGCTACGCTTACTCGTTCTGCGCAAACCCGTGAAACCCGTGAAACCACATCGGTTCTCTGCGGAACCTTGTTCCGCAGTGATCTCAGCAACCCCCACAAAGATTGAAAAGTGACGGTGCTGACGAAAGAAATTTCTTTTACTCTCTACCAACCAATGAAACAGTGATAGAACCAATAAACTAAGTTACTGCGGCAAGGTCAAGGTAAATTAGGAGAGGTTAATCATACTAAGAACAATAAAATAAAATGTAAGCCAGTAACAATCAACGATGAGCCCACATAAACTATTCATTGATCTACTTTGCGTAGCATTACTTCGCATTTGACCTTGTGCCGCTTGTTTAAATCGACCTGTTTTGTTTTCTGGTCGCTATCCGTTTTCATATTTCTTTACTATGGATCTGAGCCTTGAGGACATTATTCAGCAGAATAGGCGTCGTGGCAGGGGACGGGGACGGGGTTTCAACGCATTACGTGGTGTGCGCCGTGGTGGGATTAACCGAAGAAGTTCTGGTGGTGAAGTACGTGCGTTACATTTCCTTCACGATCGAGTGCTTAGGTCCGTGCACTGCCTGATAAGTGGCAACACGACATGTTCCAAGGTGGCCGTAATACCAGATCATCTGCCCCATCTTGCAAATTACACATCTCTAATTTGGATTTTGGAGTGAGCAATGACGACATCAACGTAAGTGCCTATGTACCCAATTTGTACGTTACAGGAATTGTTTCGCGAATTCGGTACACTTCGCCGGGCCACCGTCCATTACGATAGAAGTGGGCGTTCTCTTGGCACTGCGGAAGTTACGTATGCAAATCCACTGAGTGCGGTTAAAGCCCGTAATCACTACAACGGTGTTCCTCTCGATGGTCGCCCAATGGTCATTCAGCTGGTTGGCGCAGGTTAGTCGGGTCCCGCTGCTATTCAACGTGCAGTTCGGCGGGGCGATCCTCGTTTGCTGCCACTGCATGCGGAGGGACATCAAACAAATGGGTCGTCCGGCCACCAAGTGATGCATTGTTTCTGATTCTTGCTATGCACCAGTTTCGGTAATGTACCTCTCAGTGAGAAAAGCAACTTCCCCACCAGTTAAGCTCATTTACCGTCACTCGACCAGAAGTTTCGTCCAACGCTTTCTGGTTTGGGACAGAAAATTCGGCTTCAACCGTTTCGGGGATGCGGCTACTCGATTTTCCAGTGTTGTACAGGGAGTTGTCAAAGTATATTTCTGTAATATCGTTTTTTCAATGGAAAATGCCTTAAAATGTTTTGGTGGTAACAAACGGGTTTCATTTATCTTTCAATACACGCGTTCAACCTGACGACATTGGTTATTGGTGGTTTTAGCTCCCGTCATCCTTATCCACCCTACCTGCTAGTTTATCTTAGTTTACTGTAACCAAATATATGAGCATAGCTGGGTTAATATTCTTTCATGTTCAGTTGCTTTTCGACAGACAGGTTTATGACTAGCAGTTGGCCTACAGCATTTGTCTTCGCTAGCCTTTGCACTGCGCCATAGTGGGTTATAATGTACCCACTACGTGCATACCTTAGTTGTTCACGTGTCATTCTATGTGGCTTCTTGAGTGTGGGGACTGCATGTCGCACGGTCACCGTTTTAACTATCGGAAGTCTTGCTGCTGTTCAGTGCAAAGCGTGCTGTATCATGCAGTCGCCCATGAGTGCTACCCACTTCCTTTCTGCTTTCTAGCGAACTTTCTGCATTACTCATTTCAAATTCCTTACAACTTTGTTGTGCACCCTACAAGCCACTAGTCCTAGATACTAAGCATTGCACCATGTTGACTCACGATAACTGCATCTATCACTGAGTAACCACTTAATTCCTGAAGCCCGTCTAAACCATCGTTTTACGTTCCTCTATCTACCCACTGTCTTCACCTTTACTAGAGGGTCGCAATATACGTTTGACTCTACAGGAGGACATTTTAAGATGATAGCCGTGCATACTCCTTGTCTCCCTTTACCTCTTGGCATCTAACGTCTACTCATGTCATCTGTCGGACACTCACTTTTACTGGTATTCTACGGCATATTTCCAAACTGGCGTCTTGTTTCGGATTGCTAATCTCCCCGCCCACCGTGTTTGCTAGTACCTGCGTTTTCAGGATTCGGCAGACAACGTGAATGCATATGGGGATTTTTCACAAGGGGTATATTTGAATTCATGCAGGAATCAGCGTACATCGGTATTGGGACAAAGTAAACTGTTTCCACCCTTTTATTCGCCACACCGTTTCCGGCTTCATTGCTGCTGAAACTTACCAAAAATAACCCATTAGAGACAGAACTATTTATTTCTCACCTGCCACCATTCGGAGTTTTAGGCCTGCCGCATCCAACTGTATGCGGTTATCACCATTTTCACTTTAAATGTTCTAGAGTTTATAGCATCTGTTCATTTAATGTGCTACCTTATCATTAGCTAATTAGTTTCTCGCTATTATGAGTGTAGTTCCACTTCTTCCGTGGCCCACACTATCTCTCAGAAACTGCACAGAGAAACTCGGAAAACTAGCTTCTTTTAGCATTTCAGCTCTCGTTTTCATGTTACTAGAAATCATCTACATTACACTAACTTGTCATGAGTGGTAATTCTTTTGTAGGAAATGTCTCAGACGAAAGCCCACGTCTTCGTGTAGGTGCTACTCGTGGCCCTCGGCGTTTTCCCACACCTCGCGGCAGAGGTGGGCGAGGTCGCGGTCGTGGACGTATCTGGCGGCCTAATGTGACCAAGGAAGCCTTGGATGCTGAGCTTGCTGCTTATAATGCCCAGGTGAGCTACCTAATCCTAATATGCCTTGCCTACACTACCAATCGTTACGACACCAGCATAGGTTTCCTTAGGACTGCTTTGTCTTCTCGTCGGTCACGATAGGCTGTTCGACTTCTCCATAGCAGCAGCAGAGGCTAATGTCTAACCCGAGTGGCTATAGACACTTAGTTTAAGTTGACAAAGAACGTACACTCATCGACTACTGGCAGTTATGATACATCGCCGTTGTTATTCCTGAGTCTCACGTAGCAACATCTGCTCTTAAGTCACGAGCCTGTTTTCACCTTCAGACTCGCCACTTCATATCCTACTACTTTTGAGCACTGCACTCCGTGAAAAAGCGGGCAGTATGTGTGGCTCAGGCTTGTCAACTAGCATCTTCGTACTTCAGCCGATGGGTCCCAAAATTGCCTAATAGTCAACCCATCGGATCGCAGTGAGCGTGTTTCTGCGTTGTAGCGTTTTTCTCAAGTCTGTACTTTCTTATCTTTCCACCTCATTCGTTAGTGAGTCTTTTCCTGCACACCATTTGTTTATCGTTTCCGTCAACAAAGGCATGGTTAGAACACATGCTAGATATGGTACTTACCATTTATTAAGATTCTGCCTTGACTTTGCTTTGTATCTAGGTGTAGTCCTACGGGTCAGTCAGATCTTAGTGCTCTCGTTCGTGAATTTAGAGGTTAACAGCTTTATAGTCCAATAGTTTGCAGGCTCAAGTAATCGAAATGGACTCAGCTGGGTGTCTTCCGCACGCTAGATGGTGGTTACTTTAAAACAATTTCAGAACGTGGAGTTTCAACACTTGTCATCATATCTACACGCGACCACGGTTAAGGGATTTACAAGTGGCACCTAGGGGTAATGAGTGGGATGGGTGGTCTCATACAATTGACGTAATCGGTCTATGTTCGACACTTCTCTTTATGAAGCCTAGACCGGTTTTTCTTAGACTGATGCTCTCCAGGACCCAGTGGTCGAACCAGCTTGCACGCTACTTTAGAACCGGCTATGTATCATCTATCTCGATCATTTCGCACACTACCATGCAGCCTCGTGTGACGACGCAGCATTTGCTACTGAGAACCGTTAGTCTTCAATCACTCCCTACTCCATGTTTTTTACGTTATTGGCTATCCCACGTTCAGAATTTGCCATGCTTGGCTAGATCACTTGTGTGTACATGTGTTCAGACATGTTTCCCTCAAAGTTGTGCGCATCGCATAGAAAGGTTAGGTATTGTACTCACAACGGACTCACAGCTACATGGTTTACTCGCTCTGCAATTTCATATCGTCACATTTTATAAATGCACTGCTCTGCAACTAGGGGGACGAATCAGAAGAACACAAGTAAAACAGCTAATTTCCAGTGAGAAGCGGACCAGTAAATTGGTTCTTTAGTGCTCGTGTGGGTTGTTGTCGGATGGGCACTCGTTAATAAAGTTCAGTTCGGTCCAACAACTTTGATCCGGACACCGAAGTGCGGTGGATCCAATTGCCACGACACGTCGCCAGAATAAAAGTTAATAACAAATGAGACTTCATACAAACAATTTAAAAGTGGAATCAAGTAGGAACCATATTGAACGAATCAGAATAGAATAGCAATGAATGGCTAGATGCAGGAAACCGAATATCACAACGCCATCGACTGCTTGACTGCGCCATATCAGAAAGGCTCTTCAACCATTGGTGTGGACCATTCTGAGGCCCCTATCCACCAAGAAGGCGTGCACCAACCTGATCAAACCTCGCAGTCAATTTCCTCATGTCTTTATGCCACGTCAAGGATTGGTCACCTCGAACTTTACTCTTAGTTGGCGCAATCGCATCGTACTGTGCATGCCGAGGAAGGCTGTCAGCGGACACACGGCAGTGCATACCTAGTGATAAATGTTTGGTCATCTGTGCGCGGTTGAAGAAACTAATTACCAGCAATCATTTTCGCGGCAACCACAGCTCATCTGACCAATTGAAAGAGCGAGAAGTTCCACGAAATCAGCGGCTATTAAAGTGCCGTGACAATGGAACTACATGAAGTCCTGATTCTCTATCGTTTTGGACTTCGCTAGTTGGTGAAATTCTTCCAGGATTTGATCATATTCCCAACGCTAGAATAACCTTAAGTCGTGATTACTGATCGCTGGATACTCTTGGATTGTATTTGTTAGCATTTTGGCTTGAACCCCGCATCTGCTGATGCTTGCACTTTTACGGGGTTGTGCTCCCCAACTGGGGCGGCACTGGAAAAAAGAACGTTTCCCGATCCAAAACAGATCTTGGATGTCAGAATTCTATGAGAAATAAAACTCTTAGTCTGTGTTAAAATTTGGCCAAACTACTAATACAAGTGGTTAACTGCACACTACCTCTCACTGTCTCTCATTTAGGGAAGTGGTTTGTAACGGGCCTTTAGGGAGATAAAGCGGAGGTAGTTCGCATGATGCAGAGTTGCGATCAAGCACCACTGGCCGTTCACCTTAGGAAAGGTTTCGTTCAAGATTTTATTCTCCACCAGATGATCAGAGTTCGATCCGCAAGGCACTGAAAGCCATCTAGTTCGGGAATATGTCACCAATTACAGGTAGCTACACTCCGCCTTAAAGCCGTTACGTAGCCTTAAGGATCACAAGCCCGCCTTTCAATTTGAAGGCGCGGGTTCGAGCCTGCGTAGTGACCGGGCAACCCTCACAGTATCTTGAGCTCACGTTTAACTAGTGGTACTTGGGCGGCACCGAATCGTCGCTACTACATATAGGCTGTTATTGATTCCTTTACACTGTCTTAAAAGTAATGTGTGTACTCTTACCATGCAGCTAGTGTATTTTATCACGGTATTCCAGTAACGCTATCACTATTTCCTCAATTTTTCGATCAGTAATCTATATCTCAAAATGTATTTTCATGGTACGCACCAGGATATATATAATGCGGAATTCAATACGATATCTAAAAAGCATTCTAGGTGTGTCTGGTTGCCATATAAGGTTTCTCCTTCAGCCGTCGATCCTCCTTCTCCCTGGGCTTGCCGAACAGCCGCCTCGTGGTGCCAGCTGAGTGGTTCGGGATTATCCCGTTCCAGCAAATGGTTCGGCGGCAGTGTTCCAGGACGGTGGGTTTTCGCCTGGCAAACCTCCCCATAAAAAGCCACATCTGTCCGTTTAACAACACTGTGACGTGGCGGATGCGACTTGCCACTACATAAAGTCACTGCTCCTTGCGTCTCTCTGAGCGGCATTGTAATTCAAGGGTATCTTGGGCCCCTGGTCCTGTGCGGTCCAAAAGGCGTATAAACCACTTGTTTGGTCACCGGCTCCCAACGAGTTGCGATACCCTCATATCGCCCTGCTGCCTTGTAGGTTAGATCTTGGATCAAAGTCTTGGGATGGGGCCCCCTAAGACAACCCACTACTTCGATCTGGGCAATCGGGTAGTATCACGCCCACTGACGAACCATGGATGGATTCCACTACCGCTTTCCGTCTCGCTATGTCTACTGGCTTTATTGTTTGCTGCTAAACATCCGCTCACAGATCGTCCTACGTCCTGTTCTTCAACTGCACCTATATCTTCCCTGGTCACCGTCAACAGCATATGACAGAGTTCTGAGGCAAACGTTTGGTGTTCGTTGTCCGTTGGTCACAACATCTGCACACTCAACCTAAGTCCAAGCTTTCCTTCGTCCTGGTTCTCCATTCGGCCTTGCAGTGTTCAATGTGCGCACTCTGATGCAGATCGGAAGACGATCATGTCTGGCATGCACGCTTGAGACACGCTCGGTGGACATCTGTGTCTTTCCGAAACCAGGTTGCAAGACGCCAGTACCGTCATCAGACTGGCATCTCTGACAAACCCTGACGTTAAACACCACTTGCGCCTTTCCGGAGACCCAGAGGCCGCCACTTCTGGCCAAGCTGGTGTCGGGGTTGCACCGAGTGATGACAGGGCTGAGGTCGCTTTACTTAACCGGATCCCAGTCAACAGTCGGCTATGTGCAGTCGGACTACGAGGTTCATGTAAGTTAAGTAAGCGTCGACATGTTACGCATGCCTTGTTTGTCATTTTAGCACGCGCACCTGCAGCCCGAATACAGTCAAGCACTGCTTTTACCGCCAGCTATATGAGCTTCTGCGTTCCGCGAAGAAGTCTGACATTATCATTCCTGCCGGAGGTTTTAACGTACGAGTGGACCGCCTGCCACCAAGCGGGCATCATCTTGGGGGTACTTTTGGCCTCGGTAGCGGCCGATCAGACAGTGGAGACAGACAACTGACTCTTTGTTCTGATCATCGCTTGTTTCATTCGAGTACAGGTTTTCGTCATTCGAAAAGACAGACTGCTACCTGCCGTCCGCCTTCCCAAACACAAGAATGGTCCCAGCTTGACCACATAGCAATAAGCTACAGACGGCGAAGCGTGACGGAATGCCGATCGTACTGGGCAACTTGTCTGGACTCCGATCACGCATTGGTTCGCGCCGAAATTTGCATGCGTTTCAGAGGATCATCCAGACGTACACACTACCGACCGAATGTCGAAAATCTGCAATGCTAGCTGTTACCGGAGCCCGTCCATAGCAGCCATCGAAGCTAGCTCTCTCTCTCTATCTGCAACAGGCCGGAGAAGATTAGTTGTATGCCGCCTGTAGCCGATTGGCTAACCAATGGGAGCAACCCAATGACATCGTTTTACCTTGAGGTGGACCAATCAGAATGACTTACCCTGAAGCCCACCAATAAGCACACTACTTGCTCAGCCAACAAGCGCGTTTTTCCGCATCTAGTAGTTGCTATAGTCAGGAACTTTCAACTTGGTCTTTTCTCTCATGAATTATTTATTTCGACCCAATAT